TTAGGGAGAGCACTGCGCACTCCCGCGAGAGAGAAGGGAGTAGAAAAGGTGCCCTAAACAAATACTGGAGAACCACGCCGTCTGCAGGCTGACTGTGGTCGCAGATGCAAAACACACGGTCGAAACACTCAAAATCGAAATAACACTATCTCTTCTCCCTCCCCCTCCCCGCCGCCCCACTCGCCAGACTAGTAGGGGGAATTCGTTCACTCTGGCAGCCTGGAATGTTCGCTCCCTTTCAAACAATCCGAGGAGTAACCGACCGGAACGGAGGACGGCGCTAGTGTCTCCGGAACTGGCGCGCTACAAGGTGGACATCGCTGCACTCAGCGAGACCCGGTTCTCCGAATAAAGCCAACTTAAGGAGGTAAGTGCCGGCTACATCTCCTTCTGGTGCGACCGCCCCAAGGCAGAGCGACGGAACGCGGACGTCGGCTCTGCCATCCGGAATGACCTCGTGGGACGACTGCCCTGTCTGCCGCAGCGCATCAACGATCGCCTGCTGAGCTTCTGCCTGCCTCTCCGGGGGGGTGAATTCGCCACTATCGTAAACTTCTACGCTCCCCCGATGACCAGCCCTGACAAAGCGAGGAACAAATTCTACGAGGACCTGTACACCCTCCTGGCGTCTGTACCGGAGGCGGATAAACTAATTGTCCTTGGTGACTTCAACGCCCGCTCCGGCACAGATCATGCTGCCTGAAGAGGAGTGCTGAGTCCCCATGGTCTCGACGGCTCCAACGACAAGTGCCTGCTTCTTCTACGAACCTGCGCAAAACACAGGCTCATCCTGAAGAACATCTTCCACCTTCTGATGCGAGAGAGGGCCACCTGGATGGCGCGAGTCCTGGACAATGGAGCTGTCTCAGGTACCCACACAACCTCTTCAGCCTGTGCACGCGTATACTCGACGAGAGGCAATATTCAACCCACCCCTTCTCCACCACATCACCGTCTGCCGTTGTGGCGTCTGCCATGCCCATCAACACTGCACACAATCCTGACACACCAGCACCACCACCGTCAACGCCAGTGATGGGGACCTGGTCCATACCTGCCCTCATTGCGTTCACACCTTCATCTAACACATCGGCCTGGTCGGTCACTTGTGAATCAATCGCACAGAGACTGGCGAATCGGCGCCTGAAGCACTAACCTACACCCGTTGCATCTGCCTCCACTGTCCACAATGCCCCCGCACATTCATGCACCGCATGGGCCTATTCGGCCACATGCGTAACCACGAGAGCGGAATTGACCGCAGTCCTGACATACCTAGCACATCCAATGCACCCATCGTGCCTAGCCCTGCCCAAAATCCGCCGTCCAGCGCGCCCACCGCAACCAGCTCCATCACATTGAGTAGATTTTGCAAACCCACCATGCTCAGCCCAACTCACACCCCGTCGCACAGCGTGCCCACCACCACCAGCTCCACTATCACCATCGCCGAGCCTGATACTGACATCACCGACTTCTCATGGCCACACTGTCCCCGCACATTCACCTTAGGCATCGGCCTGGTCGGTCACTTGCGAATCCCTCGTACAGAGACTGGCGAACTACTGCCTGTAGCACCAACCTACACTCGTCACATCCACTGTACACACTTATTCACCGCATGGGTCTATTAGGCCATATGCGCGTCTACGAGAACCTACCGCAGACAACCGTCGGCTACATCACACCATCACATCCTCCTTACTAGCATCTCATCGCACATAAACATCACCCATCGCAAGCACCTAACTGTTACTTCCCACGCAAGTGGAAAGTGTGCGTCTCCACGCGGCTCCCCAGCTGCATGTGTGATTCGAGTCTGAGTCTATCACAACGCGTCAAGCGCTGTGGTTTGGAAGGCTGCTGACTGATGCCCTAACTCAGTCCACGCAGTCTGCCCAGTTTTTTGTGTTGTGTGGAGTGGCGGCTTGGAGGGCTGAGAGCCAGGCTGTTACGGCTTTCTCAAGCAATTTGGGACACCCATGCACGTGAAGAGTATGTGTGCTTTATGGGTATTGCCTCTCAGTCGACGACTGTTTTGTTATCCAACCTTGAAGGGTGACGGCCCAGGCTAAACGCAGGACCGCGTGTCGCCCTTCTAGGTCAAAATATCTGACAGCGTGTGCTATGCCAGTATCAGCAAACTTTGGCCTTCGCGGCCTGGTATGCGATGGCATTTCCCCGACACCTGGTCCCTTGTCGCTAGATGCGCTCGCGCTCCCACTGAGCATGGCTGCCGTGTCATCCTCGCTCTTCTGACACCTGTTGGGGTGTTGTTGTTGGCCAAGTGTACTTTGTAGACCAGGGGGTGTGGCGACACGCCTAGGTGCGGACCCGGACGTGCCAGTCACCTGCGCTCTCCCCCGCCCCGGGTCCAGATGGGGAGTGGGGAATAGTGAGTGCGGTAGATGTTTTGCAAGTTCACTATCACTATAAACTAAATCACCGTGCCTGTTGCACCATGCCGTGTAGCATGCGATGAACTTCGTCGGAATCGACAGGCGAACTGTCGGACGTGGGGACCCAACCGTGCATATGGTAGCCTGGGAGCCCCAGCATATTTTATTGCTGTAGGATAAACAAGCCACCGTTCGACAGACTCTATTCTGAGCTTAAAATGCAAGGCGTCCCCAGTAAAAGCTCATGTCCTCACTGGATTATCCAGACTCTTCCAAACAAAAAAGCCGGGCCTGTTGCACAACTAGCCCACTCTCTCTGGTATCGGACTCGGTGTCCGCTACAACAAGAATAGGCACCAGCCGCTAGCGATAGTTGAACTGGACCTGTGGCAGTACCACCTACCTCGGGTACCTCGATCACAAGGTTTAAACGACAGTTTGGGGGGGGGGGGCAAAGATGGACCCGAAAGTGGAAATGTGGGACCAGAAAACCAAACATCTCATGGGCGGTTAATGCTAAGTAGTGAAACGGGAAGCTCGCTGGAACAACAAAATTCCCCGCCCAGATGACCAAGCAAAGACATGTTATCTTAGTGGCAGACAAAAGAGGTCGAACAGGTATCGAAGCTGACTGAACCAAGAAGTGCTCTGCCGAGTCTAACTTGGGAAATGGTCGTCTTGGTTCTTACTTAAAGGCTCTCGGGACCTCTAAAGGGATGGACGTGTCTAACAAGTAAACTTACGAGACGCAACGGCAAACGAATGAGAACGACGTACAGATACCATCAGGAAGTCGGCTGACGTAACCAGTCCTGGTGGCAACGAGTGCAGCTGCGATAATACGCAGACTTTCCGAAAGAATACACACACTTAGAGGACCAAAACGAAAAGACCCGTGACACCAGCTGTGAATGAGACGAGCTACGAGGGAGGGAGACGCTGTGAGGGCTTAACCAGAGGGACAAGAATTTGGTGACAGTGACAGCCGCCAAGACCAAGAAAGAATAAACGGGGACAGGCGAGCCAAAGATAACGCTGACCTAGGTCGGGTTGGGAAGGGTCGGAAAGTAATAAAAGAGATATATGATCGAACCCGGGTGAGCCAGTGCATCGAAAATGCAGAGTATGAGCCAGACATGCACAATGCGACGCACTAATGAACTCCGCCAGTGGTGTCTGGTTTGGCGATCTGGGGGATACAGCTGCAAAATCAGTCGACTAATCCGTCAAGGCTAGGGGGACCTGTGATATCGGCCAGCATACCTGACGAGCAATCAATCTTCGCGATTTATGGCCGCGAATTTGAAGTGGACGGTTTCGAGTACCTGGGGCGGGGCCTCTAAATGGACGGTTGGGACATTCTCTCCCGTCCTTGCCCCAAATAATTGTCTGCCGAACCGGCGCGATATCTCCATCACCACAGATATCCGCCCAGACGATGCATCCGTCCAGTGAGTTTTCCCACACATTTCCGATTGCCCAGATGCGTACGTGGGCGGGGATCAAAGATCCGAAAACCGTCGTTAGCAGCCATCTTTCAAATGAAGTACACTGCCCTCGCATTGAACAGCGCGGCCTGTAATCCCAGTAACACCCCTGCAATGCCTCAGGCCATCCAGACTACTGAGGTTTGAGCGCGCTGACAACGGATCAAGTGCCGTTGACAACCTATGAGCGCCGGGGGTCAACTCAAGAACCCGGACCTTCGGTATCCTTGCAGGTCAAATTCCCTGGATCGGCTAGGTCGGACATGATTACAGCTCCTTCGCGTGCAAGAGCACTGTCTTAAAATCGAAACTTAGCCGGTTCAAATTCCAGCGCGACACACAACCTGGGAGATCGTTGATCTATAAGTGGAAGAATGACGAGGGAGTGGCAAGGTTGCAACAGACGACAGCATCTAGAGAAGCGTGAGACCGAAATAGAACACTCCAAAATTCTAGCTCAGTGGCGGGAGGGCAGACGAAAGTGAGTCCATACAGCCAATAGTAAAGCCAAACTGCAGTTATACGCACGAAGCATGGCTGGAGTTTTAAATTACAGAATAAGCGATGTCCAAATTAAATAAGATCCAGCGGATGGACAGGTGGCGGCCACGTGCGACAATGCAACAGTACGGGTGGGAAGCTCCAAAAGTAACAACCACCGCGTGGTTGAGGCACTACGCCAACGTCAACAACGCTAAACATAGCGGAATCCGAGGAGTTGCTCCTCATTTCAGCTAAATCCAGATAGCTTTAGAGGAATTATGGATACACACGGTGAATTGAATCGTACTCCACGAGAAGTTAGGTAATTGCGACGGACACCATTACCATCCCCAGTCGCCGACGTCGAAGCAACACATGTAACAACGGAAACACCGACGACAGTGTAACAGATGAGATTCACGAAGATTAAGGCGGGAGCTGGTCAGTGATGGAGAGTGAAACCCATGCAAAGACGAGCGACGCACGGTTCGTTAGTGCAGTCAAGCCGCCGAAGTTAGAACTCAGCCAATGTTAGCATATCCTGTAATGGAAGAAGACAATATCTACATATACAAGCTCGAAAAAGTTGTATTTTGGAAAAGATTTCGAAAGTTTGCAGTAGAGTAAAACCTTAATTGCGGGGCGCCGGCAAACAGCTGCAGAAGTAGTCATGTGTCACATCATCGATGGCCGTAAGTTGGATGACGGCTTTTATGCCAACTAATTTGCTTTTGAGAGCATCCAAAGAGGAAGCGTACAACATCTTCGTGCGAACAGTGGCAGTGTCCGGAATCCTGGTAACAATTATCACGTAGGTCATACTTACCAGGTCACGAAAATAAGGCTCGGCTTGTTCTCAGATGGCTCAAAATCAAGGACTGAATAACGAGCTTCGTTCAGGCAAGACTTCAGTTCATCTTTGAAGTTTTCGAAAGTGCAAGCTGACAGGTAACAACGAAAACCTGAACATACCCCGGTCGCCAACTTTATCGATGACAATCTCCTTCTCATTTACGATTTTGTAGAGGACATAGCGGCACGACTTCTTCAATTTCAATTCAGTGAACTTATCGAGGCAATCATCCTTGCATGTAACACCAGAGGCCTAGAAATTCGGAAACTAACATAGAAGCGCAACCTACCATTGCTACGGACGACTCCGACCGACTTGTAAAATTAAGACGCCTGGCTCGATTAATTAAAACAAATGTGAGTGATAACACGGGTTTCAAAAAACTCAAAGCATTTAATTATCTCATCAACTGACTTCCCATATTAGTATTTAACTTTGAAATTAAGGGTTTTCGTAACGAATACAATTGTGGACTTGGCGCTTCCACATGCATTGCAATTCCAATGAACTTTACGATCCAATACTTGAGTGGAGCGTAGTAAGTGGAGGCTAACCGATCAGGTTACGGGGTGCTCTCGTTCCGCCGTGCCTTAGGAGCGCAACTAGAATTCTCGCACACAGTAGAACCGTAATTCATATCGCCGATCACTGGTGAAAGGACATTAGACTTGTGGCGAAGTGCTAGATTGTTGAACCAGAGAATGCGGTTTCGCGGCCCGTGTCCCACAAGCCTGGGTTTGACTGACGACAGCTAATAAATGAGGTCTGATCACCAAAGTCTCCACTATCCTTTAGGCACTTCTTATGAAGGAATAATTCACGATCTGGAGTAGAATCCGCAGAAACATAATTAGTTTAACGCCTAACTGCAAGAGAAGGCGCAGCTCCCGTGCAGATGTTATTAACAAACTGTGCGACAGAAAAGTAAAAATGTAGAACAGGGAGCGAAGCAGTACACGAGAACGCAAAAAATTCTAATTAAGACAAACAAAGACGGAATAACGAACAGGAACATAAAAAAGGGAGGGAGGTACGAACAAACTATGTGAACAACCGCCTGGAATGTCTGAACTGCAAGCACGTAATGTTTGCCAATGATCTCAAATTGTGGAAATCAATAGAGAGGCCGGAAGACTTGCCACAATTACAAAACAATCTGAATCGCTTACAACAATGGTGTGATGAGGCGTGTATCAGCCTCAATCATAACACTTACCAACTTATCCGATTACGATCTAGCAACAGGAGGCCGTTGAGACTTGAATCTCACTACTTTACAGGAGGTCACCAACTCGAATCGGTCAACTACTTAAGAGACCTCGGTGTGTGGATGACGTCAACGGTCAAACCATTGTCTCACTGCGCCAAAGTATCAAAGAAGGCCATAGGCATCCTAGGCACGATTGGAAGATCCTTCCTCAATTTCGACGAAGAACTTTTTGGCCGAGGATTTGGAACATTTGTTCGACCAATGTTAGAATATTGTGTTCAGGCATTCTGTCCCTTGACGAAAAAAGATTCCACCCTATTGGAGAATGTACAACAAAGAGCAACCAATCTGGAAGAGCAAGGTCCAGCCGTTGGTTTTAAATTTGAAGATAAGTGGAGAATATTGTTTTAAGTGGTTTTTATGTGAGAACTAACTATTTTAGCTGCTGTTTTTTCGATTCAATTTCCTTAAATACAGGCCTATTCATTCAGAACAGCCTGTTGCTATCTCCTTTTCGCGTTCTGCTAGTCTCTGACTGTTGATCACCAGTAGCACTGTGCAATTCTCATTTTGTGCATTCGATTTCGCTCTAAATGTGTGATTTATTTTTACATCGTTAGCCCCTAGCTGAAATTCAATCACCTTGTCTGCCAGAAGTTTTCTTAACGACAACTTGCCTCGAGACAAGATGAGAGCAAAAGTCACAGGTCGGCGTAAGCTCTCGGCCTCTGTAAGTAAGCATGGCTTCACTTAACCTAAGTCAGAAGGCTTATATAAATCTAAGCCAGATGGTATTACTAGTCAGTCGTCACCCGTTGCAATTGGTCGGCAGATTAATCTGTCTGCACTTGAAAACTGCAATGACTTTAGGCTAAAGTTTGGCAAATTCCTGTCAATTCTTGGAAAATTATTCTACAGGAACATCTCCGATCTTCCCTATGAAGAATGTAGGCGTCTTGACCCACTCGGTCACCAGATCGCCAATGAATCTACTGATAGACAAAAGCGTTCTTACAAATTTCTGTCAAAAAATGTCCCAAGATCTGCTCGGTCAATTTATATGGCGACCAATTTTCTGTATTCATGTGGTTTCAGCTACAACATAGCCGATGCTAAAAGCTTGTCCTCCCGTAGCACAAATTCACCCATCTTAGTCAAACTATTTTCATCAATCGAGGTTAACACAATGTTTGCCCATCGAGATCGTGTCACTGCGTACCTGGAAAATGCAAAATTTTTCCTTTGTCATGAGCTTACTCCTATGAAGCGTAGAATCAGTTCTCTCTTACTACATTAACCCACTGCTTCTCACTCTAATGCTTACTAACTCAGTCATAATAGAAGTGACGTGAGGATTCAGCTGATCCTACTCCTGCGACATCTGACTCCCTCCTTCCCCTCACTCCTACATCTCCATCTCACTCAGGCCACTTGACGCATTTGCCTGTCCCTAAACTAGTAGTAGTAGCAGCAGCAGCAGCAGCCCAATTTGTCGTTTCGCATCCTCCGGATAGCCCCGCTGGGACACATGAAAATCCGTCTACATCAGCTAGACCGATAACTTCTCCTGTTCCACAGGATGCTGCAGGCTCTACAGTTAATTCACCCATGGCTTGGCGTCAGAACGGTGAGACCAAAATTGAATCAGACTCCGACCCAAAAGAAAGGTAGTACAGCTCCATTTCGGGGTGCGTCGCCTTCTCTTAGATCTAGCAAGCCTTTACGGCCCAGCTCGTTTACAAACCCCGCAGCTCCAATTATATCCCCAAATAATTCTCTGTCCTGCGTACCGGTTACTTATCAAAACCCTACTATATATCCAGCAAATAATTCATACGTGACTTGCCCTAAGTCATTTATGCCCCAACCAAGTTCATGCTTCCCACCACCTAAGGCCAATTGCTCTCAGGTACGTCAATCTACCTCCTTTGACTTCCCAAATAAACCTGGTCTCCCACCCTTTTATTCTTATAGTTGCCTACCCTCCCCCACTAGCCTCTACTTTCCTTCTAGGCTTCCCCGTCCTCCCCTTCCTCCACCATTTATCTACCGACAAGCCTATCCACGTTCTAACTCCCCTAGCATTTCAATGTTAGCAAACGATATCGCCACATCCTTTAGGTTTCATGCTCAGCCTTCTCTTGCTGACTACCCGCACGTCAATAACTCTAGACTAACTGGTATTTATTCTCCAAGCATCATTAATTCATAGTTTACATATCCGTCCTCAAATTCCGTCGACAATAGCATTGCTGTTCGAAACACATTAGATATTGTATTATTAAATGCCAGGTCTGTTATAAACAAGAAGGTCCAATTCAGAGCAATTGCTCTCGAAATGACGCCTGATATTATATGTGTAACAGAATCTTGGACCCATTCTCTAATTCCTGACTCTGGCCTTCTCATGGATGACTTCGATTTTTACCGCCAAGACCGCACGACTAGGCGT